TTTTCAATATCTCAATTCTATCGACTAGGTGTATGGTGTCAAGTTAGCACTACATACCATTTTTTCTTAAAAAACGAGAGCTACAAATTTTTTCTTTCCACAACAAATTTAGAACAAAAACACTACAATTAATGCCGTAGTTAACTTTTCCAATTTCGAAAAGTGTAGTGCTAACTTGACACACGTTAACGATGAGCTGTATGAGCTTTACAACGATATAGACATAGTGCAGCGAATTAAAATTCAGCGGCTCCGCTGGCTTGGCCAAGTCGTTCGGATGGACAGAAACGCTCCTGCTCTGAAAATATTCAACGCGGGCCGCGATGCTGGTAACAGAGGAAGAGGAAGGCCTCCTCTGCGTTGGAAAGACCAGGTGGAGAAGGACTTGGCTTCACTTGGCATTTTCAATTGGCGTCAGTTAGCACAGAAGACAAATGACTGGCGTGCTGTTTTGGACTCGGCCAAAATCGCTTAGGCGGTTACAGCGCCAAATAAGAAGAAGAAGAAGATACGGTCTCCAGATGAAGGCTGCGTAATCAACCCTAGATCTTACTAATGAAGTATATAGCATCTTGAGCGTGTATGGATCCGAGATAGCTGAACAGTTACGTCTTACAAAAGCAACCATAGCGTACGATTTCGATACAACATAGTTGACGTGGGTGGTAAATCGAAGTTTGGAATAAAAATATACACCAAGATCTTTGAAGTCTGTAACATGATCGAGGGTTGAGCCAGAAATTTTGTAACTAGTTAGTAACAGGCTATATTTTCTAGTGAATGTCGAATGAAAACACTTTTTTACATTTAGAAAAAGCCGATTCCGGGTGCACCACGAGTAAAGCTTAGAATAGATATTGTGCCGCTTTCATTCTTGGAACGCTTTACCAAAATTCCACCACATCCTCTTTAGCTCCTTTTACAAGGCCTCGAGTAATGTCCGGCCTTTCGCTCATGCATTCCACCAGTTTTTCGTATTGCGAGCGATTTGTTGTGATCTTCGATCTGTTAATTTCGTAAACATTTAATAATAAATATTTTTTTTTCTATTCACACTTCAACTTGCATACATATTTTTGCGTTTAATAATAATAATAGATTGGCGCTTACACATATGTTAGTGTTTGGCCGAGCTTCTCCTCCAACTTGCGGTGTGCGCCTTGATATTGTCACACAAAGCGGAGGGACCTACAGTTTTACGCCGACTCCGAATGGCGATTGTATTTTTATGAGAAGCTATTTTTCATGGCAGAAATACACTCGGAGGTTTGCCATTGCCTGCCGAGGGACGACCGCTGTTAAGAAAAAACCGTTTTCTAAAAATTTTGCGATGTTGCTTTGACCAGGGCTTGAACCCAGGTGCTGGTGAGTGAAAGCGCGCACTGCTTACCACTACACCACAGCGGCCGACACACTTTCTTTTATTGCGTTTACACACTTTCTTTTATTGATATTTTTAGAGTCCGACCGATTAATCGGCATCGGCTAGTATCGGCACAAAATTGAGCATCGGCATCGGCATCGACATCGGCCTTTGTTCCCCGATTCTTTGCCGATTCTTCGGAATTTCTTTTCAATGTTCAGGTGAAGCGACAGCCAACTTTAAAAAACATTTGCAGACAGCTCACAAAAATTATTATTTTTTTTTGTTGAAGGTGTTTCACGTCTTTTCCATACAAAAGTATGTGCGACAATTTTCTTTTATATGGAGAACACTGCCAGCAAAAAAATTGCCAAAACTTAACGGGATTTTATAGCAGCTTGAAACTTGCACTTCATTATACTAGAATGAAATGGTCTACAAAACTGCATACCAAAATTCTGATTAAAGAATTTGAAATTTTGGTGAAAATAAACCGAATTTTTCTAATTTTTGTACCAAGTTTGAATTTATATGGTGTTTGTTGTATACCAGCTAGACTTTTATAAAAAAAATATAATAAACATTAAATAAAAAAGACAAAATCGGTCAAAATATCGCAGTTCTTTTATTTTAATTAATTCAATTATTTCTTTTCTTTTGTTTTTTTTTTAACTCCGTGAAATGAACTGATTTTATGAACTAATACGTTTATTTGTAATTTTTTATGGAATCGGCATCGGCATCGGCCGATTCTTTCCCCATAAGCCGATTAATCGGCATCGGCATCGGTACCTGAAAAAAAATTGGAATCGGTCAGACTCTAGATATTTTAAAACAATTTGTTTCGCTCCGACACGAGTTGCTATTCGTACAAAATTTCCGACAAATACATAAAAATGACAGCTACGTCGGATTCAAGCATACCAACATTACGAATTTCGAAGATGGCCTACGAATTTCGAAATTACGATACAACGCGGATTTCAGCATACCAATTTTACGATTCGTACCAAAATCGAATCTACGACGGATTACAGCATAGGGGTGTATAATACCCAAGCGCTGGCGAAGGCCGCCAACGCAGAAAGGTGTTCTGTGAAAAAGGTGTTGCCACTCTTTCCTTCGGCAACACAGAAAGGAGAATTCTTTTTAGTACGGGTTATAATCCCTAAGCGCGGCCGAATGAACTATTTCAATAGAAGCCTCTGGACCCTGCGGTCTTCGCCTTTATGCACAAGAAATGTTGTATACAGTGACGAGCAAAACTGTAACATGGTGTAAAATTTTTTATTTCAGCCACCACTATCTTTTCAAATTCTAACGACTTTCATACTTTTGTTGCATATTCTTATTGGTACACCCCTACTCCTTCTCTCACAA